GCAGTCAGGTGAAATGGCAGAGCTGCTGCTGCTGCATTTGAACTTTTAGCCTTTTGGTTGTGCGAGTCGGTTGAGTTTTCTGCTGAAATGGCGGAAAACCCCAAGCTGAAGAAAGAGAAAAAAGTAGAGGAGAAAAAAAAATGTGGTAGAAGCCAAAAAAGACGAACGAACATTCCTTAGAGTTGAGTTTTGGGTATGGGTTCCCCATCTTTACCATTCCGGCTGCCGTAAAGCATCGTTCCCCGAAAATTCCTTGGCGTATTCTCCGGTTGGGGCTTCTTCGACTTGGGAGATTGGAAAGTTGTGGCGTGCAAACACATGCGTTAAATGGGCGGCCATTTTGAAGGGGGTGTTGTGGAGGCTGGGCAACAGTAGATGTTCCCCTGTGTTTGAGGGTGTGTAGTTGTGTGTGTACTTCCGTTGCAGCAGGCTAAACTTCCGGAGAGATTTCACAAGCAGCCCAAACAAAATGAATGTGCGAGCATTTACCTGCGAGGCTGCCGAGTCTTCAAGCCATTAAAATGCTTTTAATCAAATTAGTGCAAATATTAGCGTGTACGGTATAGAGTTACAGCTCAGACCTTCTATAACTGCATGCCGACGTTGAAATCAGTTGGAATTTTTCAAAGAACATCGAGATTTGCTCTGGTGATTGAGAAAAGAGTAATTCAACCAGTCGCACTCTGACTCAGAGTAAAAAATAAATACCTCTGTAGGATTTACCCTATGATAGCCACTTCTCATTAGCCCTTTTAATCATCATCCTTTTAGAGTTCTTTTCAATATCCTTAGTATTCTTTCAAGGCTGCCAATGGTATTGAAAGTGTTAACTGGAAAAGTGTAATTCATTGGGCTCAATTAGCAAACAAATCTGTAATGAAAATCTGAAAAACAATCCCTATAATCAAATCTTTACACTTTTTTTGTTAGAGATAAAAGAACTTAGCCTACCCTTAGTATTGGTTTGCATTTTATGTAAACACAAGATGAAGTTTGTCAAAGTTTTTAGTTCTTATTTTATTAAATATTATTTTATTCGACTCTTTTAAAAGTTGAATGAATTACAGCCAAATTACCACCATTCTTTTCTTAACATTAAGCGTGGAATAACATTTCCCATAAATTCCCTTCCTTGGGACCAATACCCAATATTGTGGGATATTTCCTGTTCGACTTCGAAATAACCCTAAAAGCTTTGAGAACTCAGAGTCGGTTCAGGAGTGCTTCTCTCTCTCCCTCTCTCTCTCTCTTTTGCTCTCTTGGTTATGCTCTCATTGACGAAACACTCTTTGCTCTTAGCCGCACTTTTCCCACTGACCTACAACGGCTGTTCTGGTAACAGTCCATGCCCAAAGTGCAAAACACGATTCTCGATTCCCAATTCCCGATTCCAAGTCGCGTCTGGATTCGAGTCGAGTTACATACTTCAGCAAATGTTGTGATAGGTTGCGGGCTGCTTTTGTGCTCTGAACACGCAGGAGCACTTTGGGCCAAGTAGTACGAATACGGCCAAGTGGGTCGCCTCACAGTCTGTCTGCCCAAACTCGATAAAATATCAGACTTTTATGATATTTTTTCTAAATGTTCATTTGAGTTTTATAATTTAAACTTTAATTGGCTCTAAAATTCTTAACATTTAGAGAGAGATAACAGAATAAAAATGATATCAGCTTAATTTGTCATATTTTTCTTTAAACCAAAGTATTTACTTTTTATATAATATAAAACCCATTAGATATACACTTTCATAATTTATCCCTTATACAATAGGGATATCTGATAGATGAGTATATGAATATTTAAGCCCCTTGTCGCATCAAGTTTTAGTCAACGCGTAATAACTTATGTCCCAAAACCCGCATGAAAATAAAATAATTCAAGAGACTAGGGAAAAAGTGAAAAGTTCATTAAACACTCGCAAAATCACACTTATGGCCCATTAGAGCACTAAATAAGCGAAAAATGGTTTGAAAAAGCTGAAAAGCGTTAGGCGACAGCAGGGGGACAGTGGGTGTGACCACCCCGAGACCCATAGACCGATACTCGGACCCGCAATACCAAGCCCAATCCCAAATCCCGATCCCAGGGCGACCAGACTAGACCCGAACTTTGAACCCAACAAATAACCCGCGGCGCGGCAACTCTGGCAGATGGAAATGAGGCAAACGATGGAGAGTGTATGGGTTTAATGCCAAGTCTGACAAACTAACTCGGCTACTTTAACCCCTGCTGACCAATAAAGCCGCTTGTGTGATGTACGGCAACAATGAAAAAGTTTAGCCAGCAACACATGTTCAAACCGAAACAGGGAAACACCAAATCCAGTAGCCGGGGTAGAAGCTGAAATAAAATTAAGCACATTAAAAAATGCTTCACAAATTTACAAATCTCTGGTAGAGATAAAAACGGTCGATTAAGGTGGAAGGGAACGGATGAAAAACGGAGTATATAGACCAGAAAAAAAGGTCAGCTGTGACGGGATGTTTTGTGAAAAATGGGGCGTTGTAAAATACCATTTTCCCAACCTTCCATTTCCCAATGCACATATCAGATTAGACTCCCACTCTAACCTCCAGTTAAATCTGCGCTGTTACGATCTCATTACTCTCAAACTTTAGTTTCATTTCTCGACATACTGCTAATAGTTTTGGCCTCAACAACCGAGGCCTTACCACACAAGCATCACACTCGTTTTTCCATACGATTATGTATGTCGGGATATGTATATACAAACAACTTAATTAAGGACTTCATTAACTCTTGCCCTTGTTCGGTCAGTTTCAGATGTGCCTTAATTAGAAGAGATATTAAAGTTTTAAATAGTAATTCAAGAATAGTTTGGAAGCAATGGTAAATCCTTTTGGCTCTTTACATATAGTACTGAACTACTAAATGACTTATTACCTAAGGGTGATAATTAAATTAACTGAATTCTAATGAAGTTTTCACCTATCTACCCTTGAACAATTTATAAATCAAAAATTTTCTAGTTAAAATTTAAAGATAAAATGTCAAACAACGATATACAATACCCTGCAAAGGGAAACCCAAACCGCCAATCATTCAACAACCCAGCAGAAATAAAATTATTTCCTTGGCACCGGAAAAACTCGCGGGAAATCGTATTGCCTACCCACATCAACCGGGGAGTCCTTCAATTCCCCAACTTCCCTCCTTGAGCACACAAATTATGCGTAATAATTTTATTTGCATGTTTTATTTAATTTTTCATGCCACTCTGATTACGAAATTGAATTGGCAGCTTAGTTTTATGCGCGCAGAGCTACTTGGGGGCGAGGAAAGATTTCTATGGCCAGGTGGTAGACTCTCACCTACCGAGCTTACTTTCTGTTGTCATACAATTAGCAAGGTCGGATGGATATAGCCTCCCAACTCCAGCCAAAATCCAGCAACTTTCTAATGATGTTCGTCCGAAATTTCACTCTGGTCTCATCTTCAGTTTCATTTGCTTTGACGTCGACATCGTTTCATTTTACTGATTTTCTTTGTTGCTGTTGCTACTGCTGTTGCTGTAGCTTTCCCTGCTACTGATTTTCTTGTTTTTTTGCCTTTCTTCAGTCACCCGAAATTTCATGCTGAATCATTACCAAGGAGAAATTTGTGGGCCAAGAAGGAGCTGGCGTCCTCCTGGCTGGCAACTTAAATGCGCTTAAAATTAAATCTGATTTCATGAATATTGATTGATTGCTTTTACCTTGAATGAAAATCCGCTTCCGTGCTACTTTTTCTTCGTGCTGTTTTCCTTTTTTTTGCGTCCTCTTACCTGGCCGCACATCCTGTTTCCCGGTCTTCTATCTTACCATTGTTTGGTCTGAGTTTCCCACACCCACTTTTTATTCCTTTTTTTTTGGTAAGTTAAATTAATGAGCTTGCGAAGCTGCCTTGCCGCGCCTCTTTTCGTCTCCTTTTTTTCGCCTGGCATTATGTAAAATAATTTGACCAAAAATAAGTTGATTTAATTGAGTGTAAGGCTGACTTGTATATAAAACGGTAATGGAAAATTTTTTAGATCAACATAAGATTAAGAACTATCTATAGAGTTTAAAGAAAAGCATTTAAACTAATGTTTGTCCTTACCGGAAGATGTATTCGAGTTACAGGCTATTGGAAGGCAGAAACTTAATTTAAATAGGATTTAGGAAACGGTTTTAACAGCTTGAAACTCAGAAATCGATTACAATATTTTAATTAAGGTAAGCAAATGCATTTAGTTAAAGGCTTTCCGGAGATTTCCTCCCTCTGTGGGTCCGGTGATTTTCCCAATCAGCCGCAGACAGTCGAAGAAATTGATGGTGAAAAACTTGTAACCAAAATACGGAGAAAACAAAACAACAAGGGAAACGAATTTCCTGTGGAAAAACAATAATAAAAACAAAGGAAGGACGAACCACAAACAGACAGAGAAACACATGCAAACAAGCTTAGAATGAGAAAGAGAAAGTCTGAGAAGAAGAAATGACAAATTCTCGTTGAAGGGAAACAGCTGGAAAACGCACTCGGAAGGTCTTTTTATTTTCTTTCCCCCGTATTTTTCTTTTTTTTTGCCCTTTTATATTAAAATTTGATTTCTTTTGGTTCCAGCAGCTGGCAAGGGATGGAGTAAAAAATATTTTAGTTGTCTGTGGAAATCAAATTTTCTTCTTTTTTTTTTACAGATTTTTGTCCTTTATTTTTTGTTATGCCCCGATTTTCTTTTCGGTTGTCCTTGCGGCGACTCGGTGACTGTGTTTGTTGCTGTCAGATTCAGTTCCGCTTCTGGGGGATGCCAACTTTTGACTTCCTGTCAATGGTGACAGCTGCAGCGGTCTAGCTTTCCCTACTCTTCGTCACTCCCTTAGTTCCTCCGAGTTTTCTAGACCTTCCACTTTCACCAATCGAGTTAAGAACTTTGACGGATATTTGGTAGCCAAGCCAAACTTAATGATATATTATATTATTATTTATTTTTTGTAATCTATACTTAAAAAAAAAAGAGATCATTGTGTAAAGTGTTTTTATTAATAATATTCTACAGTTAAAGTTGGATGATTATGATTATGGTTATGTTGATGTTTCGTACTTTGCGTATTGGTCGTAGTGGGGTTTCCTGTAAGAGTTTTTCCCGCAATATTGTGAGTATGAGCATGATTATGAAATAATGTAGTTTTTCCAGAGTTATTATGATTTTGTGATAACGTTTTTCCATCTGAACTATTGGGAGTCTGATTGTTAGTACTAGGGGTAAAGTTCGGAGTCTGACCAATTGTTGTATGAGTTTTACCAACTGTGTTATTCAACGTCGGACTATTTGTTGTAGATGTTTTTCCAACAGAATTTTTGGGGGGTTCAATGAGACGTTTTCCAAAAATTATCTGCACACATAAAGAATGGGATTATTGTGTCATATAATATTAATATAATACACTTTATACTTACCTTATTGACATCACAGCAAGTCTCGAACGAAAAGCACTGATTATTATAGTAGGCAGCTATTGTTGTGCTGCGACTATCGGTGCAAAATTGCGAAGGTACACAGGCATATGCTTTGTTTATTCCACAATATCCTCCAGCGTTGACGATGCCAAAGAGAACGCAGCTCACCAGAAGAAGAAAAAATTCCCAGTGCAGTGACATGGTGTACTGCGAACTCACAACTGAGATTTATGAGGAGTCAAATAGCGCCTTTATACCGTTCAAAGCGTTATCACTTCTCAGTAGGGTGTTATCGGTATTCCAGCACGCAGAGCTGGAATTTCAACACTTATTTACACATATTTATTCCTAATCATAAGTCACAATCATTTGCTTGACCCCAGAAAATATAGCTACTTTTTTTTAAATGATTTTATTAAAAGATAATATTAATTATTTTTAATAGAGTGAAATCTTAAATCGATTTCTTTACTACATAACATACAAACGTAGTTCAAAAATATTACAGATCTTAAAAAATAAAAGCAAAATGTAACACTATGAAAATAAGTAAAATTCAAGTTTTTAAGAAGAATATATATATTATCTCTTTTTCTAACTAAGGTAATATGGACCTAAAAAGAGAAGGGCATACACACTTTATTCTGCGTTTTTGCGACCTACAAAACCAGCTTTCTAAGGAACCTTCGTTAACCCAGATTGTACGGCAGCAGCTTTTCCACGGAGAGTGCATTGAAAGCGAGAGTTTGAAGTGTGGGTTAGTTAGAGATGGAATGGGATCAGCCTGAATGGAAAGCCAAGGAAAGAGCAACGCACACTGGCCACAAAAGTGCAGCATACTCTGGCGGTGCACTTGACTGAAGGGAAAATACGTTTTGCATTGTTAGAAAGCAACAAGAAATGCGGCAAGGGCGATTTCAACATGGAATCGGAGCGATATTTGGCCAATATCCAGGGACTTAAAGACGGATACATTTTAAAAAAGACCACAGAATATGAAATATTTTATATAAGAAACTACCATATAGATATATATATTTAAAACGCAGCAAAAGTAAGTATTTAAAAGGGCATTGTTTATGTAAGCACTCTCACAATTTGTTTTCAAATTTTTTTCAGATTTTTTCCTATCTTTTTTTATGCTGGGAAAAATACAATTTCCGTGTAAGTTGAAAAACAAACAAGAGTCTCTCGTCTGCCAATTTTTAACGTTCTGCCAGACTTAACCCAAAAAAGAGAGTCTCACTGTCTTTCTCGTCCTTTCTCGATGAAGCAAAAGTAAATTTCCACTTGCAGTCAATAATCAACTAAGCATAAAATAGTATTTGAACTATTGATGCAGCAAAAATGTGCTGCTTCCCTTCCTCGATGTCGGTGCAGAAATATTGGGAAACAAAATGGGAATCCGCTTTAACTTGAGCATGAACTCTGCCAAAGTCGGGGAATCAAAAACTTTGTATTTTATTTTATGTGCGTTTGGCTTTGGCCATACGAGTATGTACATACAGCCGGTAATACGTATATATTTGAAATTCTGCACATGCTCGCACTCAATTGAAGTTAAATTATTTTCCGGGCAAATTTCTATTTGTTACGCACAGGTCTAGGTAAAAATAATCGGACAAGCTGAAGGCAAAAATATTCTGGGTTTAAAAAAGTGGTAAGTGGACGGTATAGGTGTGGGCAAGGGAAACCGTTGACCTGTAGGCCAAAGATTTCTAGCTAATTTGCGGCAATAACATCAAAGCTGCTTTTAGGCCTTTTCAGTTACCCTTTTTTTCATCCCTTACCCAATTGGCCTTGTAGGCCTTTTTTGCTGGGCTGTATGGACATTGAGTTAAGGGTGTGGTGGGCACATCCGTTGGTTAAATGTAGCGTTAAACATTTTTTAGGCCACTCGAGACGAGACGGCTTTAAAGTAGCTTAATTTGAAGGCGTTTAGTCGAAAACTAATTTTCGTAGATCTATTTATTTATTATTTTTATGAACTTAAAAACTCCTAATACTATGATTATAGCTAAGAAAATGTTTACACATAATTAACTAAATGTATTTTAAGACATGTTCAAAAGGCATTCGCTTACATACTGAAAGGATGGAAGGATGTTTCAACTAGACGACACCCACGCTCCTTTCAGTATTTCTTATTTTTTAGGCTTTTACCAGCATGTCGTCTGTAAAGTTAGAACCTTGATTTATTCACATCAGATTGTTTTCAACTTTAATTTCTTGTTTATAACTTTTTGAACATTTTTTGGGCTGTCCCTATTAACATATAAAAAATCATATCGAATTTTTGAAGGTTGTTAGTTTAATGTAAGAGAATAATTTGTTCTTAAAACTTAAATAACATTTTCACTGCCATTAAAAATATATAAAAAATATTTCGTAAAATGATAATTAGTATTAAAATATATGTAATAAAGTGTATTAGTCGTTCTACCTCGATTTATATTTATTTTTACACATTCTAATATATCCAGCATATGCTCTTCTTGGGCTTCTTTCTTTTTGTACCTATTTCTACTTCAGCATAGACAAGACTTTTTCGCTGAGTTTGGTAAACATGCCAAAACATTTTGACAGTCTGGCATCGAATTGCTCATTAAGTGAATGAAATATACATAGACAGACGGAAAACAAAATAAGCTGGAAAAAAAGCAGAGGATCAAATGCGGGCAAACAGCATACAGAATTGCGCAACGAAACAAAATCCAAAATGCAATGAAATGTAATGGAAATGCAATAAAAGCAGGGAAAACTATTTGCGATATCCATGGACCCTCTAAATATCTACATCTGTACATCGTATATAAAAAGTTGTATAAATCCATGGCTCTGTTCTATCGAACTCTGTGTGATAATTCATTAGCGGGTTCAACGGTCCGTAAAATTGAATTATGCTTTTGTTGACGATTTCATTTCGTTTTAGCCATTTCACAATTTTCATTTACCGATTCACATTTCGTAGCCCAGCGAAAAGTTGCGTGTAATTAGAAACTCGCTTTCATGGTGTCGAGTTTACAAAAATATTTCCTTTACCTATCAGTAATTTATCTCTGTAGTTAACCCAAATTATAAATTTAATCTGCCTACATTTAGCTTGGTATTGATATGACAAAATGATTTTTCATTCAATTTATTCTTTATATCCCCCAATACATCAATAACCAATTTTATTGTATCGAATGGTTAAACAGCTAAGACTCTTAAGTCTATAAATCTAACTAAGCACATTACTTACCAATTACCAGTTAGCCGCTGACCAACAAATAACAGCGAAGACAGTACTTATAACAACCAAGGCTAATGACACCCCAGAGAGAGACAGAGTTAGAAATGCGATACTTCTGGTCAGGTAAGCTTAATACTCCATAGTTGTGTCCATGAAAACATTTTCGTTTACCTCTCTGGCGATAGCAACAGGAAGCCAAATGGCGGAGCCTCAAGTCCGCCAAAGGAGCGGGCTGGTCTCGATTCAATTGGGTTCCGGTCAGAGGCAGATACAGATACAGTTGCGAATGCAGGGCCAAAGCTAAAGCCAGATCCAGGGCAAAACTCGTTTGCAGCCGTAGCGATTTAGGGGATTTTCACGTTAAGCGTTGGCTGTCAGCGATTGGCAAGCGGCTTACAGGTGGTCCACCTCGTCCCCTTGGTTGGTTTCTGTTCTTGTCTTTTCTGTTCTGTTCTGGACCTGGTTACCAGATCTCGGCCTGGTTTATGGGCTTAGGCAGGAAATGACCGTAACCAAATGAAAGCTGGACCTGAAATGGAATATCAGGGCGATTGATATACATATTTTAGACGGTTATTTTGGATTAATAAAAGGCTAAGTCTTATGTCCTTAAAATTAAAGCAGTTTTGCTATTTTTGAACTTACAGAAAGTACATATTATTCTGAGTACATTAAAAACACCCCCCTAAGTAATAATTTAGGATGGTATAACTTATAACAATCTCCTATATTGAGGCCCCAAAAAATCAACTAAAAATAGCTTAAAGGGCTTATCGAAACAAACTCACCTCCGCTTCGGTTTCTTCGGAATATTGAATACAGCCGCCTCGAGGGTGCAAAATGTCAATCAATTCTGTCGTTAAAAATGAACAGCCCGGAATGGGAGAAAAATGATATACAATCTATTATATACTGCGTGGAAGAGAAGAACAAAATGCCAACTGACCTTCAGTCAAAAGTTAACCCTTTCGCAAATTTGCATATAAAGAGGGAGCCTGGGAATGGGACTGGGCTGTTAAAAGACGCTTTATGTTGTCAAGAAAATGTGGAGAAGGAGGATACTTTATCCCGATTGTCATCTGTGGTGGCCATTGACTCGGGTGAGGTGGATGTTGGCATATGGGGACTACACACATTTATCAAGCATTATCTACTTTCACCCGTCTCCATTTTTATTTTCTTTATTTATATTTATTTTTTCTTTTGCGGCTGCCGAAGAGATAACAGCTGCACTCAATTTGCATAACACACGCTTTGGCTGGAAAAAGTGTGAAAGCGAAAATGTTCAAATTTATACACTCGAATGTGCGATGAATTCTCCACATTGGATACACAAAGCAATATAAATTATGAAACTTTTTTTTCTTTCTTTTTTTTTTTTTTTGAAAATCAGTTTGTAAAGTTGTCACAGGTTATCTGTGAATCGGATATTTATTCTTTGTCAAAGTCTGCCGTTGTCAACATATTGAAATATTGAAACAGAATGGAACGTGATGAAGGTGATTTATATGAAGTTTGTTGAATTGTCGTCCTTTGGGTTAGTTGAAAAGTTGTTGATGGAAAATTAATAATATTAGGTTTTTATTTTCGTGTGCTGACTTTGGATTGAGTTGTATATACTCGTAAGTTATATATTAATATATTCATATGATTTGGTGAATATATTAACCAATACGAATTAGCAATAAAATCTTTTATAAAAAACATTAAAAAACTATCCTTAAGGCTAAATAAATAATATTATAAGTTTTTTCTTCATTGATTTTATGATATTCTGTCCAACGTCCCCATACCATCAAAGTTTAACTGTATCTTACACCAGTTTTATCGGTTTCGGTGAGAGATTCTTGTGGACAAGAAAGTTTCGCATTTTCCGAATCGAAAGATTCCCCTCGTACTTTTTTCCTTTCCTCCCACGCTCCAGTTTGTTGTGGACTTATATACCACGAATTTGTTGCGGCTACAAATTACA